GATTGATAATATATATGGTCGCTCGGGAGACGAGTGGCGGGTGCTGATTGGTTCCACGGTCCGCGGTCAATCATTGCCTGGCGGCACAATGATTATGCCGCCGGTAATCTTTGGGTAATGACCGCGATATTGATTGCCATAGATGAGAATTCCACTTAGCCACATAAGCTAAGTCTCCCCGCAGTCTGATCTTTCGCCTAAATGGATCAATGGCTTAAATCAAGTTGGACGAAAGGAAACACACACAGTATTGCATCCGCAGTCGGACGAGAACTGCTGAATGAATGGATCTGGACCGTTGATTGTGTGATCAATGGTCTAGATCTTACGTAACACTCGGGTTATGTAAACCAAACCATAAATCCATTTTTTTTGCTTCGTTCTCTCAATTGGGTGCAATAAATCAAGTGAAAATTTAAAGACAAGCTCTATACATGAAGAACATTCATGTGGGACTGTTAGCTCGATCTAAAATGCCATATAAAAACCTCTATTTAGATCTAAGTGTTTCTATCTAGGCTTTCAAATTAACCTCAATCTAATTGATGGATTCAATAGATCTTGGGTTTGTTACACTTGTAGATTATCCATTCTCTTAATTGTAGAAGGAATCGTGACCCAAAACACTATGGATTGATGGTAAAATCACTTGGAAGGGATTTATCCTTGGTTGGCTGGAGATCTCACCGCCGACGAGACTTTTACGGTGAATTTAGGTGGAGGAAGGTGGAGAAAAGTCCAAGGAGCTCAAACAAGCCAAAATTTGGGCTTGGGAACTCTTGGAAAGAATAAAATGCCAAAAGCCTTCCCTTGGAACCCTAAAAAGGGTATATATAAACCTAAGCATTAGATCGACGGTTAGGATCAACTCTAGGGATAAATAGGAGGGAAATTAAACTCAATTGGCAGTGGTTTGAGTCAAGGGAGCATTAGGAAACAATTGAATGAATTAAGAAGGGTTTAAATGAGCCTAAATAGGTCAAATTGACCCATTAAGACTTGGGTTGACCAAGTTAAATGTTGACTTGGTTAACTTGGTCAAGTAGGTCCATGGGATGGAGGATTTGAGCCAAAAATAGGTTTGAAATGGATTTGAAATTTATTTGGGCTCAATTGGGCTAATTGGGTCAATCAGGGGGGTTGACCCAGGGCATGGACATGGGCCCAATGTGCTAGGTCTGACCCCTGAAGTCCAAGAGAGGAGTGAATTGAGCCCAAGAAGCTCTGAATTGGATTTGAAATTGAAAGGAAGGGAATTGGGTCAATCTTGGTCAACCAGGTTGACCTAGGGCATGGGTCTGGGCTCAACATATTTTTTTTGACTCAATTGAGTACAAGGGAGATGGTCTTAGGGCATGGATTGGTTAATTTGATCAAGTCAACCCTTTTGACCCAGGGATCTGAGTGAAAATCAATGTCAACAGCTAATAACTCATATTTTTTCCTATAGTGTATGTACAAGTGCTACATGACTTATACTATATCTATCTATTATATTTGGATATAGCGGATTCATAATAACACAAAATACTCTAATGAATATACATGGACATAAAAATAAGCAAAAATGAATGTCGAGATAGACCCAAAATCACTTAATTAGACTTACATATCATTTACTATAGCTATGTTTTACGATCAATTTTTAAAAAATATTGCTCTAATATCAAAAATGTTTGCCACAACCCAACCTGATTAGACCCACAGACTAGACAAACCCTATCGTGTTGGCTTACAACAAGTGAACCCCATGATCTAAGTTTTGAAAACCATTCAAAATTTTTTGCCCAAATTCTAACTTTAAAATAATAATAATTACATAACTACTAACAATATTCAGTGCATTAAAATTAAACTCATCCACAAATTTCTCATTTCATTTATTGATAAAATGAATATACAATTATAGTACATGACTACATACTGGGCTGTAGAATAGAACAATATAATTAATTAGTCATGACTGTACAAAAATTAAATTAAATTAATATCTCTATAAACTCATATCAGATCATGACACTACTACTCAACTAGTCATTTCCCCATCTCAGACCCTAAAAACATATGACAAAATAATTATGAGCCATCACAGCTTAACATGCCTCATTTACGATCTTAATTTTTAAAATAAATTCATTAATAAGCATTTAATTGAGTGTTAAAAGTAATCTAATAATTCATTATGCTGAGAAAGTAGAAGTTGCAGTTATCAAGAATTCAAATAATGTTACCAAGAAAATAAATAAAGAAACACTTAATATCACATAAATTTTTTAGAATTTTGACTCTTATGCCTCTCAATATCAGTACCAAAACATGCCCATAAGCATCACAACATAATTCTTTCTACCCAAACTATTTCTTCTCATAATCTCACATTTCAACCAATTAAGCATATAATTCATTGCAATGCATGAATTAAAACATAAATAAACTCATTCTAGAATTTTACAAAATGATATAACGGTAAGCAGTTAAATGTACTACTATATAAAAATATATTATTTTATAATACAACCAAATTAATAGAGATGGTATAGAATGTTGTTTTAAGACTTTAATTGAACTACAACATTATTTTTTAGAGAAAAATCATTTTCTAATCAATTAAACTTGCACAACTCTCAAAATCCCCAATGTAAAATTTCAAAAAAAAAAAAAAAAAGAAGTTCAGAATCATTGTCCCTTCACATATAAAAAATTATGTGATAAAAGTTTTGCAGGTGTAAAATTATCTTCACTTTTTTACTATCAGAATATAAATTAAATCATAATAAAACTGAGATAGACAAAAGGTCACCTACATCAATACTAACAACTTTTTATTATTGGGTAGCTAAGCTGGAAAAGACCAAAAATAGGCCAAATCTAGTTTTCCCTCACGAAATTTTTGGGTCGGGTTCGGGTTGGGTTTTTGTGTCGTGCTAAATATTGACACCCTTAACTATAGTACATGACTACATACTGGGCTATAGAATAGAAAAATATAATTAATTACTCATGACTGTACAAAAATTAGAATAAATAAACATTTCTACAAACTCAGATCAGATCATGACACGACTACTCAACTAGCCATTTCCCCCTCTCAAACGCTAAAACATAAGAAGAAATAACTATGAGCCAACACAGCTTAGCATGCCACATTTATGATCTTAATTTTTAAAAAAATTCATTAATAAGCATTTAATTGAGTGTTAAAAGAAATATAATAATTCATTATGCTGAGAAAGTAGTAGTTACAGTTATCAAGAATTCAAATATTATTACCAAGAAAATAAATAAAGAATTATGCACTTAATATCAGATAGTTTTTTGTTTTAGAATTTTGACTCTTATGCCTCTCAATATCAGTACCAAAATATGCTCATAAGCATCATAACATAATTCCTTCTACTCAAACTAGATCTCCTCATAATCACACATTTAACCAATTAAGCATATAATGCATTGCAATGCATGAATTAAAACATAAATAAACTCATTCTAGAATTTTACAAAAAGATATAACATTACGCAGTTAAATGTATTACTATATAAAAATATATTATTTTATAATACAACAAAATTAATAGAGATGGTATAGAACGTTGTTTTAAGACTTTAATTGAACTACAACATTATTTTTTAGATTCAAAATTATTTTCTACTCAATTAAACTAGCGCAACTCTCAAAATCTCCAATATTAAAGTTCAAAAAAAAAAAACCTAAATGTACAGAATCATTGTCTCTTCACATACAAAAAATTATGTGGTGAAAGTTTTACATGTGTAAAATTATCTTCATTTTTTTACTATCAAAATATAAATTAAATCATAATAAAACTGAGATAGACAAAAGGTCACCTACATCGATACTAGCAGCTTCTATTATTGGGTAGCTAAGCTGGAAAAGATAAAAAAGAGGCCAAATCTAGTTTTCCCTCACTAGTTTTCTCTCTCTCTAGAAATTTTTATGATATACATGTATTTTTTTGCTTATTGTACTTTGTATTATATTAATTGTATTGCTTGCATATCTTTTATTGGATATTAATTTTTTTTCTTCACTTTATTTATAGAATTTCATCTACTACAAGAAAGAAAATGAAGATTTCAACAAAAAAAGGAGAAATTATGAAATAGTGTGTTACTCAATACTTTATCTTTATTTTTCAAAAATAATATATGTTGCATTATTTTATATATTTCATAATTATTTATTTTGTCACATATTTTAATTAAGTGTATTATTATTATATCTCTGATATTATGTTTAAATAAAATTAGTATTTATTTTATCATCTAATTGAAATCTGATCCAACCCAATCGAATATTTGAACGGTAAAACTCTTCATCATCCGGTTCATTGGCGGATTTTAACTGTGGCTGTTACGCTATTTAGCTGAGTTTAAGGAAAGTGGAGATCCATTAGTGCGAAGATGAGCTTTATTTGCATCCCTTTGTTTGCTTTCAATTTTTTTATTTTTTATTTTTGTTAAGGATTGCCTTAGTCCCCGCCGGCCAGCGCTCATGCAACTCCGGCCCCGGCGCTGCATATCGGCTTGGCATTTGATCAAACAGGAAGCGGGCGGTTATGCCGTTTCAAGCTTCCAAGCTCGACCTCCTCAAAACCTCATCCTCTCCCCACTCCGTCTCCTCCCTCCTCTTCGAACACTCCTCCAACTCCCTCGCGCTCTCTCTATCCGATTCTTCCCACCTTCTCTTCCCCTCCTTCTCCCCATCCTCCCCATCGCTGCCGCCCACAGTCGTCCCTTCCGCCTCCACCGCCGTGTCCTTCCTCCGCCTCCTCCCTACCAGCCGCGTCCTCTTCTTCGCCGCCGCTCCCCTGGACGCCGGCGCAGCTCTCGCCCTCCGCGCTTGGATCCTCCACCTCAATCCCCCGCGCTTCGCATCTGTCCGCCTTACTTACAAGAAGAGCGCGCCTGCCACTCTTCCCCTGGCGCATGGTTTCGGCGTGCGGCTCATCGGGACGGTCAACTACTTTGTTGTTCACGCGCCAGCCGCTAGTCAGATCTGGGTGATGGCTGCGAGGATAGAGGAGGGGGAAGGGAATGAATTGATGAGCATAGATTTGGTGAAGTGCGCTGTGGTAGACTGCGATCTCCCGATATATTCGATCGGGATGTCGACGGGGGTTATGGTGCTTGGTGAGATTGGTGGTGTTAGGGTTTTCCCCATGAGGACGTTGGTGAAAGGGGGTGAGCTCAAGGGGAAGAGGAAAGGATACATGGCTGCTGGTAAGAGTGGCGATCGGTTGTTTGGGCTGGGGAAGAGGGCCGTTCCGAATGGGGTGATAATTCCTGTTAGCCGTCCAGATGGCGGAGCTTCTGCTAGAGTTGAAGGAATCATGGAAGAAAAGACCGATGGAAATCAAGCTCCCGGTAAATTTTTTATGCAATTCTTTATTTTTCTCTAATATTTATCGAAGTGTTTGGAATTGACACTTTTGAATTCTAGTTTGCCAGAATCATTGCTTGATTGCATGATCTCTTATTTAAGAACTTGGAATTGATTTAGCTTCATTGTGTGGTATTTCTAGTTTCCTTGTGGGGATGTAAAGAACATCAAAATTTTGTGTCTGTAAAGGCATTGACATTATGGTAGAATCCCAGGCTGCTAGTTGAGTGTCTTGTATGAAGGCTTTTTAATACTATTTTGATAATTAACGTCCTGCCATCGAATTTATATTGCCAACCTACGTGAATGTTGTGTTTGGTTTACTGGAGATGGATATGGAAGACATCGAAGTATTGTGATGCTAGAAGGCATATGCATGATTGCAACTTCCCACAGAGGGGGATGTAGGGAGCGAGGGGGAGGCTGCAGTGCTGTTGATGGGAAATAGAGATTTCTCCTTTTATATAGATTTTGACCAAGAGAGTTGTCCGAGTAAAAGTTTGTGTGTAGACCTTGCTTATATAATTTGAATTACAAAAAAATCATTGTTTTATAAACATTTATAACTATTTTCCTTGGCATTCATCCATTATAGTCGGTACATTTGTTAACCCAAATGACATCACCAAGAGCTCATAATATTTGTACGAGTTCCAAAAACTATCTTTGCGATATCTTTTTCTTTAACTTTGACTTGATAGTATCCTCATCGTAAATCAATTCTGGAGAACACTGTAGCACCTTCTAATTGATTAAATAAATCGTCAAATTCTGATAATGGGTATTTTCTCTTAATTCTTATTTTATTCAACTCTTGATAATCAATTTATAACCTCATGGATCCATCTTTGTTTTTAATGAAAATAGGTGCACTCTAATTAAAAATACTTAGTCTAATGAATCCCTTATCCATTAACTCTTGCAATTGACATTTCAATTCATGTAGATCTTTAGGAGCCATCTATAGGGAGATCTACGTATATTGATTTTCCTTGCTGCAACGCAATTCCAAATTTCACTTCTCTTTTAGGTGGCAATCATGATAGTTCCTCCTGGAATACATCAAGAAATTCTGCTACAACTGGAACATTCTTCAATTTCTAAATGTCCTTATTTAATACTTCAATAACATCAACTTGCCGCTTTTCAACCATTTAATTCACATACTAAAAAATATATTATAGTCTTATCACTTGAAATGTAAAATAATTTTCCATCAGATAAGTTAAATTTACTCTTCTTCCTACGTTCAATTGTAGCAAAATATTTTACTAATTGATCTATTTGTCAAAGATGACATCAAAAGTCATCATAGCTGATCGGGACAACTATCCATTCATTCATTTAGCACTTCTTTTGGTGTATTTATCTATAAGTATCTATATATTTACCTATATAATTCAATTGGGTGATCATGTTATGCATGTTGCTCCTAGACTTAACGAAACTAACTACCCTCAATGAGATCGTCTTATAGCTTTGCAATAGTCATATCAAAATCAATCACATTTCTAACTTTATTTTTAAATCCAATTATGCTTTCATTATACTTCACAATTCAAACCTTGCCCTAATAGCATTTTTTATCGCATCCCATTTACACCCTCTTTCAGGTAATCATAAGGCATAAAAAACCGAACAATCTAGCCATGGATAACTTTGACCATACCCATTTTGATTAACTCGTCAAGATCAAGTGACGAAAAGTAGCCTGACTCGATCCTCCCAAAAGTATACTTGACATTTAACAATTATTTAATGTATTCATCATAAACATTGTAATGGAAGCTTGCCTAATTAAATTCATTAGTTCAAATACAGAGCTGTCAATATAACTTTTAAAATAAGTTCTTACGTATTCAAAATCTTTAACTAACATTCTTATCATACACATCTTTTATAATATCTGACATCATACATCCGAAATATTGCTGTACAAAACAAAAGTAGTTACTTTTCCATTATTCCTTATTCCTTTTTTTTTAAATCATAATATAGCATCGAATGGGCCACACACTAAGGGAGATTAATAATTCTAATATAAAGTCAAATATATAAGGAAATAATACAAAATACTATGTTGATCATATGAGCTATAAGTGCATTCATATACAAATAGACATAATGAGTTCAATGCAATAAATGTTATTTCAATATATTAGTTATTAGTTATTTGTGTGAATGATCAATAAAAAATAACAATATGAATGTGAAAATAACTGTAAATTTCTTATTTATCATACTGGTCCATTTTCTTATTTATCTTACAGCTTGATTATATGTAAGGCGTCATAAGTTTAATTCCATAGAATAAAGTGGGATTTTTAAAAAATCGGTCCACCACAACAAAAATATAATCTTGTTTCCTAAAATTTTGTGGCAATCCAAATACAAGATTCATGCTAACATCTTCCTAAGTTTATAAAGAACATGTAAAGATGTGTGTAATCCAATATATTGCTCTTTCCCTTAGCCATTAGACAAGTTCAGCATTGTGAATGTAGTACCTTTTTCTGTTTTCCACTGAGCAATTAAGTACACAGTTTATTTTTATATTCCTAATCTACATCCACTAATAAACGCATGCATTGGCTGATGGATTCTTTATTCCATCCAATAGCTAGCACTAAAGGATGGTAGCTTAGTGGATAGCAGGATTTGAGAGTAAATTAGTGGATTTTAGGAGTGAATATTATATTGTTTAGTGGAATTTCATTCTAATGTAATTAAGGCATTTCATTCCACTCGTTTTATTCATTGCACCCACGATAATCCCTTGGCATTTCTTGGAGTCGAAGCAGGTGCTATTGCCGAGAGCAGTGGGCAGAGGAAGAGTGGGAGCTGGAGAAAACATGGCTGCAGAGTGCTGTTGATGTATTTGCAGGTAAGGAAATTAGGAAGAAACTTTTTTAGGTCTGCAGAATCAATGGAATCAGTAATTATATTAATAGTTGCTGAATTTAATGTGTACAAAGAATTGTAATGGTGGAAATCAGTAAGAATGGCTATTGAAATCCGAAGGGCTGTAGTGTTAACAGAAAATAGTAGTTGAGGTGATGAAATGAAGTGTTGGTTGCTTAAATTAGGTGATACTACTACTGTCATAGTCAATGCAATCAGCTAATATTAACTAAAATATGAATCAGCAAGGAAATATAAGCAGAAAAATTGAAATCAGGTAAGAGTAGTTGATGATTAGTTGTTGATGTTAAGAATGTAGTTATTTATGTATGTTGTTGTATATTGTTGATGTTGTTAATTAGGGGTTGTTGTGGTTAAATAGAAAAGAAATAAAAGGAACTAAGGAAAAAAGTTTAGTAGAGGAAGGAGAATGTTAAATTGAATAAAGAAGAGTGCAATTGAGGTAATTTGTAAGATATTCATATTGTTGCTTTATTTATTTATATGTGTAAATAAAGAAATGCATGTTTTAGGTGGTGTACAAAAGAGAAAAAAATAAGACCTAAAAGAACAAATCTCATGTAAGGTGAGATATCAAAACAATGCATAGGATATAGTAAAAATTTAATATATCTGAAAATTCATAACTATTATTTATGATAACTCTAATTTTAGTTTTTTTCATAGATAAATTGTTGATTCATTAATTAGTGACTATAATGATGCAGTTCATGATTGTTATAACTGAATGATATTGGAAAGATGAAATAAGTCATATATAAGGAATATGTCCGCACAAGTAAAGGTGGACGACTTGATAAGGTAAACATACACTCTCAAAATTCTAAAAGTTGAGCGAACACAACTTTTAATAAGAGAGCAACTTTAATTCTAAAAGTTTGGAATTCAGACGCAACTTTAAATTTGAAAGCTAGAATAATAGAAAAGTCTATAGTCATCATATGACTTGTATAAAGCGTAGATTAATAAATAGAACATAAATGAATGTTATGAAATTCTTATGACTAGTATGAACTTTACATGTGATTTAATTTAATTGTCAATATATTAATTACTATTTTTATACAATGATTGCATATTTCATTGAGCTTCAACTCATTAGCAGTGGTTGTACTACAGACAAGGGGAAATAGCAAGTGGGATAGTAGTCAGGGCAGTTGACTACTCCTATGTGTGCATATAATTTTTTTGGGTATAAAGAGATCTAAGTAGGAGTTGTGCAGCCTTTTGGATATGTAAGTAAATTTTTTAAATTTTAGTAAAGCTCTGTATTTCTTTTGAGATGTGTAATTTATTTGAGGTATATTGAATGCTTTATGTTGTTAAGTATAAAGCTTGATATGTTAGGATATTCTGAATAAGACTACTTCTTATTTCCTAATTCTGATAGATGTAATTCAGAATGAGTGTAAGTAAGATCTTTTCAGATTTTCCTCTGTTACACTTGATGTTGACTGTAAGGGAGGTCAAAATGCGGTGTGATAGAAATTGGTACCAAAGCCTAAATAAAAATTAAATAGAAGCATAATTGGATTTAGATAATGAAGTAAAAAGAGATATAATGAATATGATGTATACATAGCTATAGGTTTAATCAAGGTTGAATAAAACTATGTATACATAGCTATAGGTTTAATCAAGGTTGAATAGAACTATGCATGCATTCATTCGAAGAGTAAACATAGTTACATAATAGGCCTATTTAATATTTTAAAATGATCATGTTTATTATCATGAGTACATATATTTTATGATCTATCTATATACATATTGATAATTATGTCTAAGAAGTTGTTAGAAAGAATAATTGGTCAGTCATCTAGGTAAGATATAAAAATATGAATGAATGAGCGAAATAAGTCTAATGAGTATTGTGCATTTGATCTCACAAGTTGTAGATAAAATGACATCTATGAAGAAATCTTCTACTAGCAGTGGACTCAAATCTGAATGTGACGATGAAGTGGATCAACATTTAAAGTTATTTCATAAGTTTAAACCACCAGCATTTAAAGGTAAAAGTGATTCAACAATATCTGAGGACTGGCTGTTGAAGATAGGA